AATTTTCATGAATATAAACGGATATCTTACAACCAGGCTCCTGAAGATGAGATAAAGTAGTAGATGCGGCTCTGGATAGCTGACAGAGAATGATGTGCTCATTCAGACACTGAGACTGGCGTCTCCAAAGGCTTTAGGAGCAGAAGAAACACACTGAGGTCAGACTAAACAAAGCGCTGTCCACCCAGGCCTCTCTGGGAACTACAAAGGGCAAAGCTGCTCCTCTCGATTTACTCTGAATGAAAGCCAGTGCTCAGAGCAGGCAGCAGGTACACGGCTTTAAAAATCCAGAAAACACAGTAACAAGTATAATCAGTGTTGCATATCCTTCAAGGAAATGTTGATCATCCTGTCACTTCAAAACTATACTACTGTCAGGTCAATTCACATTTAAAGTACACATTACAGGTTATTAAAGTTTTTCATGCAAAAAATTAGAATATGGAAGGAAAATGAAAGAGGTCTGTTTGCCTTTATGCCACTGCAAAATCAGTTTGAAGCTTTTGGAAAATAAAACCGATTACAGTCTTCTAAAGCATTAGTTTGCACACTGAACAATTAAAAATGACATGCATTTCAGAATATTGCAAAACAATCTATCGGATGGCCCTCCCCTAACAAACCTAGAGGTGGTCTGTGAAAGCAGCTCATTACAACTCACAGTTACGTTTGATTGCTATTTGACCTCTAACAGGTCAAGTGCTAAACTTAATGAAGAGCTTATTTAGCCCAAACCATGACCATTCCCTCAAACCAAGTTGTTTATGTGCCTAACACCAACCAAACACTGACAGTGCCATAAGCTTGACTGTGTTTATTATTGTAACCATGATGATAAAAATTCCAGTACAGCTGCTGCCATCCGGCTCCGTCCATAGGAGGCGCTGTATCCGAGGGTAGGGACAAATGACCTACAGTATGGTCGTTTAGGTTGGAGGATCTGCGCCTATCATAGTGGAAAAACTACAATTACATTTCCATATTTAATGTTTGATCACATTTCACAATAATTTTAACAAGCTCTTATCTTTGAGCTGAACAGTGAAACTAAAATACTGAACTTCTTAGGCTTAATTACTGTCTACAAAGGGATCAGTACCTCCAGTGAAGGAATATTCGAGAGGCTGCTGTTGATCCATGATGCAACATGCAACAGTGAACATGCAGGGTTCTTGGTCTTGGGGCTTAGCTGAAGTTTCCAACCAAAGTCTATATATATTTTCTTTAAACAAGCTCAGATTTTGGATCAACTCACCCCCTGCTTCTTGTAAAGACTGTTATTCAAGGGTCAAGCACCTCTCACAATATTTTTACAGTTCAGCCTGCTAATGATTATGTATATTGTACAGTAAATCTTTATTTTGCAGTGTGTGTGTGAGCCACCAACAGCTTAGAGCTGCAGAACTAAACCACAATACACATCATCCCTCGTAAGAACAGTGGCACCAGACTCATATAGACAAGTCAGAATGACGAGCTCTGTGAGAATCCAGCTTGAAATCCTTCCAGTGTTTGTGAGACAACTTAATGACTGTAGGATTAAACTAGTTTCAAAGTCAATGGCAGCAAAGCTGATGTGTGCCAAGCTTAGAAAACCCTGAGAGTCTGGACCTCTGCCTATCTCCTGATTCCAAAAACACACTATGAAAATAACCACATTAAATTGAGCCAGACTGAATAATTTATGCACACAAGTCTCTTTTTAACTCTGTTTTGTTTGTGGATGCAAAAGGGTGGGCAATGTGAAATCAACTAAATGTGGAGATGACTCCTCTGTGTGTAGTGCAGCTGATGCATTTTCCAGAAAAACGAGGCACAATTTCTGTTGCCATGGCTACGGATATTAAACACTTGCGATTCTTCGTGGTATGTGTGGATTCAAGGGCGAAGCTATAATGAGCAGTGGCATTAATGATACTGCAAGATGTGCTCCTGCCACAGCCAGGATTAAGTTAACTGGGTTTGCAGTGGGACACATACACAGGCACGCGTCTGACAAGAGCCAACAAATCATATCTAAGCGCATTAGTGGAAAGCAGGGAGAGGACGTACTGTCATTACTGCTCATTACTGCCTTACTGCAGAGAGAGATCAGGGAGCGAAGAGAGCGTCAGCTTTCATTTTTCTGAGGTTATTAAATTTCACTCAGTTGTGTACATAGACTACGGCATTATGTGCATCCTGAGACAATTTAAAAAGGAATTCCAACAACATTCTTGCAGCAGCACATGAATTTTATGGAGGTAAAAACAGCACAAATATAAGAGTAATATTGTCACAGCCATTGTGTGTCATCCCCCGACTCCCACTGTGTTTGTGAAATGCAACAGTGTGAGGGTGGCTGCCCTTTGATTCTAGCAATCTGTAAATCAGACTGTTGGCCACAGTGAGACATCTCATTTGAGGTGTTTGTGTATGTTGGGTTTACTGGTCCCAAAATGGCCCGTGTCCAAGTCTGACTAACACAGCTTTTTTTAAACTAGGGAATACACTGTTGAGAAGTTATAGAGGAGCACTTCGGTTCACAGGCAGGTTTACTGCTGGCTCTGTGGACTTGGTGTGAAATAAATAGTGTTTTACTGAGACACAGAGATTCATATCTACACACATTTCATAAAACAGTTTCTTTGTGCATCTACAGTGTAATTCCTGGTTAATTGGATAATTACAGTGTAAAATGCAGCATGCAAAAAAAAACCCACAGACTAAAGTGGTTTTGTGATTTTTAATCAGTCACACCAACAGAGCAGTAATTGAACTTTAAACTTTATAAGCCTGATGTACAGGCATAAAGAATTCTGTTAAGGATATTCCATCATAAAGTGACCTTCTAGAAGCTAATGATTATAATGCCTCACATCTCTGAAACAATCTGAGACTCAACTCTTGCTACATTTACATTTTTGTAAGTCTGTAAATCCTTGTCCATCTGATTGTTGCAGTGGTTCAAATGGTTCTGGGGTTGTTCTCGCTGACAATTATTTTCCTAGACTGAGTCAGAGCATTTTAGACAGGATTAATTAATCCTGTGTAAAATGGTGAAATAATTAATTAATTAATAGAGATGTCATCTTCCTGATCCAGAAAAATAATAACAGGGACAGTGCCACAAAAAGGGCAAGAAGTATGGATCATATCGGTGCGGTGGTACAGGGCGTTTTAGGTCAATGTACAGACACAGTGTTCAATATATCCTCTAGCAAAGCTAAAAAAAGTTCCCATGTTGATGCAAAAATGACTTCATTCGGAAACAGACTGTATGTCAAACATTATAAATTGCCAACAGGGCAACATATTTCCTTCCAACATAATTAATCTCATTTGTCCACAAACAAAAACACACACAATTCATCAGAAAAATGTAGAAGCTGCTATAAAAACTGCACTCTATAATTGAACCTCACAACTAAAGTTTTCAGACAGACCATTTTAAGTGGATTCAGTACCGATCCAGTCACAGGTCAAACGCTTCGTTCATTTTTCAAAGACAAAAACTTTTTTCTTTTAAAACAGGTCTAGTATTTCTCCATTGTTTCTCGACTGGAATTAGTGTGATTTGGTGTAATCCAAATAAGGTAAAGCACTGCTCCAAGAAAAGCACATAGATGTCGCCAGCACACGTCGTGCTATTTATCATTCCTCACTAAACATGTCTCTGCATTACAAGCATTTTTAACAAACATCCTTTTTTCTGGATGCTTCACACATTGTGTCATTTAAATAATACACAACATATCAACACATACTTTGGTTTTATGTATATGGACATAGTTTTAGGTGTGGGATCCTACAAGTTTTGTTTAGTCAAAGTGATGAATGTGTTCATAAATCAAATCAGCACTTAATCAGATAATGAACCATCTATGATTTTCAAGATAGTGTTAGATGCTAGAACACCCTGCAGAAGCAGTTATGCTGCTCCACGTTCCTCTTCTGAGGAGGAAATCGAGCATGCCACACTTCGGCTGATCACAAAAGAGAAGAAAGGTCCTATGTTGACAAAAAGTGGAAAACTGACAAAGCTGAGAGAGAAAACATATTCCTCTCAGTATCCAAAAACAAAGCTTTACCTACTTTACTTCCAGCCATTCGTGCTGCTTTGTTTCAAGCTGCTTGGCTGACTGCAGGTCTGGCCTGCTGATTGCAGTGATAGACATGGAGGAATCTAACAGTGGTTGCCAGAAACCACAGAAGAAAAAGGGAGAGGACCCTCAGTCTGCTGTCGGTCTGTGCCAGTAGGGAGAGGTAAACACAAGTAGTCTCTCTTTGGTATGCAAGGATTATGTTGGCCCAGAGAGGAGCTGTAACTTAGGAGGTGCCATGTGGTCTGCTCAGTAGAAAACACAATTAGTTTTAATGAATGCAAAACAAAACAAAAACAAAAAAGCCAATCCTAGCTGACACTGGGTGAGAGGCAGGGTGCACCCTGGACAGGTCACCAGTCTACCACAGGGCTGATCTAGACAAACAACCACACACACACCCCTACATGCAATTTAGAGTCACCAGTCAACACAAGGTGCATGCATGTCTTTGGACTGTGAAAGGAAACCGGAGTAGGGTTGGAGCTCGAACCCGGAACCTACTTATTGTGAGGCAACAGTGCTGTGCAGACCCAAGTTTAACAGGAGAAACCTGCCAGCAAAATGCTGAAAAACAAGGAGCGCAGCTACACAACCAGTATGTTTTCAAAGGAACTGACTGATAAAATATTCAGTCATCTATCTGATGGCTGGCAGATCCCCGTTATCTCACTGAAAAGAAGTCTCTGAACCAGTCATCTGTGAACTGTGAAGCCGACATTTTCTTTGTTCACTGAAAATTGTTTGCTCTAACACAAATAGCTGTAAGTCGAAAGTGGAGTAGGTGTCCACTGTGAACTGCCTTGACATTTAAAGCTGTTTTTAAAAACTGACGCCAGGCCGCCGCCCCTGCCTGATGTATGTGGGGAGCTAAAGGAGGAGCAGGTGGGAGAAGTTCAGGAAATGCATAATGCTCACCTTCCTCTAGCCAGGTCTCGGTCAGCAACATAAAATCCAATTCCCGCCATGTGAAAAAAGTCCTTTAGAATAAAAGTCTTGTTAGCCAGGGATCTGGTGAAGGGTAGGTGAAGCCAAGCCAGGCCAGCAATACATAAGAGAATGATGGCAAATCGAGTCGGATTTACAATGGAGGCCGGAGACATCAGTAGAAGCCCAACGCCAAAGGGCCTTGAGCCTGACAGCCACTCCTCCCCTCTTCCCTCGGCTTTTAGGCCGCTTTCTTTGTGGGCAAACGAAGTAAGGACCGCGAAAGTGTGTCGGTACCTTCGCCAGTGACGGTGGGAGAGACCTTACATGATCCCATCCATGAAAAAATCTAATATTGAGAAGGGCTGTGCGTAAACTAGTAGAGGCGA